CCTCCAACGCATACCAATCACAGGGCCCACCACAGCTCCCGGCCAACCACAGTCCACAGATCACTGGTCCCAGCACATCCATGGCCGACCACAGCAGAGAGAGAGACAGAGAGAGGGTGTATCCGTGTGTGTAAGAGAGAGAAAGAGTGTGTGTGAGTGTGTCCGCAACAGAGCCTCAAAAAAAGCATGACTGTGCCAGACTGTTTCGTCGGACTTTCACTGACTCATCAGGAGGTTGAACCCCGACAGTCTGCCCAGGATGCATTTGACTGATGGATAAGGGCTCACCACATCGCCCAGAGTTAGCAGCGATAGCCCTGAGAAACGTGTCTCTGAGAGAGAGAGAGAGAGAGAGAGAGAGAGAGAGAGCTCAGGGCTTCATGACACCGCGCAGGGTGCTTCACGACGTATGCGCTAGAGGGGCGAAGTAAAACTGCACGCGACATCGGCAAAAGTTGGCCTAGGCGCTTCGCACTGATGCTTCACGACAGCCTGGGGCACCCACAGCACCGTCGCGGACTGAGACGGCCCTTTGAAACAGTAAAAACGCGCGGCACTGCGTTGGCCTGCCGTCGTGAAGCGCCCTCGACTCCGGTAGCACCGGACGGCACTTGACCGGTAGTACCCCACGGCACTCCGCGGCGCGTCTATCTGAGCCGTCGATCCGGACGGACGGCCTGGATCTCGGCGCGGTACTAAGATCTTAAGACCGCATCTATCCAGGCCGTCGGTCTGGTAGGACCCGACGGCCCAGATCGCAGATTTGTTACATGGTTATGTCGATCTGGGCCGTGGGCCAGTAGGGCCGACGACGGCCCGGATTTCAGGTTTGTTACCTTAGCGATTTTAATAGTGTAGGGATGATATTGATGGCGATGATCACGACAGTCACTCTGATGATGATCTAGCAGTGGTAATAGCCGTCCTGGTGCTGGTGGTGCTGCTGGCGCTCTTGGCACTTTGGGCTGATCCCATTCTCCGTCACACTGCAGGCCATAGTCATAGTGGTGAGAATGGCAGTAGCAGGAGCAGGAGCAGGAGCAGGAGCAGAAGCAGAAGCAGTGTGGCGGCACTTACAATCAGTGAGGAGCCTGCTGCCGATGATTATGATGACAACAGTGATGACGAGTGAGTAGTGGTGGTGGTGGTGGTGGTGGTGGTGGCAATGGAGAAAGGGAAGTGAGAAGGGCACAGGACATGGGATTTCTCAGAGGTATGGAAACCCACCCTTATCACCACCCTTATTGCCCTTTCAGCACTGGGGGCGGCCAGGGCCTTGCCCTAGACCTACCTGGCCCAGCCACTGCTTTGTCTTTTCCAGTATTTTACTATTTTTCATGTTTAAAAAAAAAATCAAAATTTGGGAGTTTGTCCTGCTGGACATCCGTTAAAATTGGAGCGATAAAGAGACCCCTGCGCAAGGATGACACACATAAATCGAGAAATGGTCCAAATTTGAAAAACGAGAAATTAAATATTTGTTCCAAAATCATTGGAAATTTGAAAATTTCAGCTCGGACCACGGACTGTCCGGAGAATACATGGGTCTGTATGTAGTCAGGATTAGGGCTAGTATACTATTCCGCGCAATGAGTAGTTCAGGCATTCACCTGGCAGTCATGCTGCTGCTCCACCCTGAGGAACACTGAGGCATATCTTCGGTGGAGGAAGGAGAAGCTAATGGTGAGGAAGCACACCTCCATGGCTATGGAGGTTGAGCAACGGTAGGAGCGAGCCTCAAGCTAGGCTATGGAGGTAGGTGGAAGGAAAAAGTAGAGATGAGGACGGAGGAGGGAACCGACAATAGAGACTTACCTTGCCTATGGTGGACCTCACCTCCATTTCCTTCGTGGCGCTGCATCTTGAAGGCCCCTGTTGAGGTACCAGTTGGACATGGACTAGATCCTGGAGTGTGGCTCTGGTCATAGGAGATGGGAGAGGCATGGTAGTAGTGCGTCGTCCCTTGAACATCCGTGGTATGGATGAACCACCATAGGTAGTTGCCTTACCATAAGGTAGAGGGAGGGAGGCCTCAAGGAGTGCTCTTCACGTGCTGGCAGTACGGGGAATCATTCCCACACTGACTCTTGTTCATCCTTTTAGTTTGTTGTCAACAGCAACATAACTATTAAATTGAAAGCCGGGCCCCATAAGACACTTCCCAATGGGCCCAGCAAAAGTATTGTCCTGGCATCCTCCGGATTCCCAGTCAGCAGGCCGTTTGCTTTGGGAGGGGCTATTCGCTGATGTCAAGGTCATGGGCTGAATTGCAGGGCCACACAGCAAGGAGATTTTCCGTTTTGCAATTGGCCGCTGCCCTGATTTGGGCTGCTGATTCAGCGTAGCAACTCCACGAATCATTCACATCGAGATTTGCTTGGCGTGCAAAGAGCAAAATTGGACAGGGAATGTTAGAGTACAAGTACATCGCGGGCCCAATTGGGGGGCAGAGCTCGATGTGGGATGTCATGATACAACTACATGGCAGGCCCAATCCGGGGGCGGAGCTCAAATGTGGGATGTCCGGATACAACTACACGGCAGGCCCTTTCAGAGTTGTGCTCACACTACAAATTTTTCCTTTATTTATAGACTAATCGCCAGGACCTTTTCACTTATTTACGGACATAATTGCAGTCAGATTCATTATCGAAGCAATCGTCCATACAGGACTTCTACACTTGTTTATGGATGCAAATGGATGTAATTGCGGTCTGCATCCACCGCCCGCTGCAAATTGTGGTCAGATACGGATGGCATACTCACAGTAGAACTCTTTTCACTTGTGCAATTGCAGTTATAGCCGCCCCCGGCTGACCATAAATGTGGTCAGATGCATGTAGGCTGGAGCCAGTGTCCTGAGGGCGAATGCTCGAGTAAAAGTACATAGCCGACAGGGGACCACTGAGCCACAAGCTTGACGCTGGGCCAGGTTAGGGCATACTCACACCAGGAACTTTTTCCGCTTTTGACATATTTATCGGCATAATTGCAGTCAGATTCATCCACAACCTGCCAGTCAGACTTAAGCTAGAGCTAGTGCGAGTATGCCCCACCCGCACTGCACCAGCAAACCCACATGGCGCCATCCAATCCATACGCTACACGACCCACCCCGTGTTGTGCCACTCAACCCGCATACTGTCACATAGACTTCATGGTACCACCCAGTCCACATATTATGACCCGGCCCATATAGCGCCACCAAAGCTGCTTAGTATGACCAGCACCACGTAATATCACAAAGCCCACATAGTGCCAACCAGCCCACATGGTATGACCTACATCGCATAGCACCGCCCAACCCACATCCAACCCACATCCCACATAGTCCTGCCCTACCCACTCTATGAGGTACGACCCAACACACATGGTATCACCCAGGGCACAGAATACCACTTAGCCTGCATATTTCCAGTTGGCTGCAGCAAGAATGGAATTGGGCCTGATGTTGACAATGTTTTTTTGTTTTTCGGCTTTTTTGCTGTTTTGTTTTTTTTGTGGCCACGTCTGTGTTCTTTTTTTCTTACGTTGTTGTGTGTGTTAGTACCATCCAGTCCACATAGTAGGCCCGCCCCACATGGTGCTGCCCAGTCCAATGGCACCAACCAACTTATGAGCATCACGCAGGCCATTTAATACCAACCAGCTAGCACAGTGCCACGGGATGTAAGCAACTTAGGTTGCAACACAGAGGCCCTATAGTGGCTGAGGAGGGAAACCAACCCTGAAGAAAAGCCATGGGGAGAAGCTCTCTTTGATCCAGGGATTTCCTATCAGGAAACCAGCGTTGTTCACGACTCTTTCTGGCCAGCCGAAAGAAACCAGTTTTCCGGTAGCCATGCCAAGGGCGGAGTCGTGCCAAAGTGTGTAATTGTATTTTGATGTCTGTGTGTGTGTTCGTACCATCCACTCGCACAATATTCTTCTTGAGTTGCAAAGTATGGCAAAATCTCAAAGTTCAGCCTTGAAGTTGAATCGAGCATGATCATAGCAGGATTTTCTTGAGTTAAGCCCCTGAAAAAACGTTCTGTAGGGGTATCTTTTTCCTTTCCAATATCTTTTTTTAACACTCTACAATACCTATGGCGCACTCACAATTTTCTTTACAGATTTCCTTGCTCATCACATACAATTTCCTTGCTCTTCTTCCGCATCCTCCACCCCTTCCTTCCCCCTACTCCTCCCCCTCCTCTCCGTACATCTCCCCTTCCTTTTCCCCTACTCCCCCACCTCTTCTTCCCATTTCTTCTTCCACCTCTGAATCCTTAGAATTGTGTATCCACTTCCACCTTTACTTGTACCTGTACTACACACACAAGAGAAAGAAAAGAAACCCTGCTGCCCTTACCTGTAATCCCTTCCCTTGATTCCCTATACCCCCAGATCTACCTCGGGCGGTCCACATGCCTCAGATCTCTCTCTATGGTCTACATGCTTGCACACCTCACCAACGAACTTAGAAAGGCGGAAGCTAAGCAAGGAGGAGGTAAACACCCACTATGTGGACAGCTAGCATGTTTATGCCTGCCTGCCGAACCAGCCCTTTCCAGCCACGAGTCCATGGCAGCCTAACAGCACGCGAGGTTAATGGGCGTGACCACAGCCTCCACTTATACTAACAGGTCCTCAGACCCTGGGGCGTGATACTACGTTCAAGTCTCAAGCTAGCTAGTCAGTCATTGTTCAACCCTCCAAAACCCCTCTTCACCCTCCACAACCCCCTTCCACCACATACCTTCAACCCAATCGAACACGAAAATGAACTACGAAAATGACAGAACACAACAGGTCAGGATGCTAGATGACTCCTGATCATGCAACGAAATGAGGTTCCATATCAACTCCACCCTAGTAGTATATACTATATACAACTTCACCTGTCACTCCATGTCACTTGTTTCATACCCCAGGCCATATATATGTAAAATAACAAGTTAACACAGGAAATAACACTGATATATGTAAAATAACAAGTTAACACAGGAAATAACACTGACCTTGAGATAGCCCACAAGAGTAAAGCACAGTAGCCATAGTGGTCCATCCACATCGCTGATCTCCACCAGCGATAGAAAGAGCAACTGTGTACCATGAGTTCGCAGAAGTCAGACAAACACCATACAGTTAGCGTATGCATATCAGCAACCACCTCTCTCTCTCTCTCTCTCTCTCTCTCTCTCTCTCTCTCTCTCTCTCTCTCTCTCTCTCTCTCTCTCTCTCTCTCTCTCATGTGCGCGTTTAGCATGCTTAAAACAGGAAATCGTTTCTTCCTTTGAATGAGAGAGTCGGTAATTTGATTTTTAAACATAATTTCTACTATAATTCCCATATGCATAATCTCTTTGACAATTTTCAAGGGATCGCGCATGTGTAAACATTGCAAACAAATCGAAGTAACCCACTGCCTTTCCCAGGCAACATCAAGAATCGAAAATGTAACATTACGGGTTCTTTCAAAGGCTCGGGGCTACCGAACCCTGATGGCTGGTCGCGCCCGTCAAAAGCAAAAAACAAAAAGAAAAGAAAAACGCTGCACTGCAGCTTCGACGAAGCAGAGCGGGGGGGAAATCTGCCTTGGCACAAAAAGAGGCTTGGAGGCAGTGGCAGAGGCTCAGAACAGGAAAACACTTTGATTTTCACTATGAATCAGAGTCAGTAATGTGATTTTTTTTTTACAATCTCTTTGAATGGGTCCCACAAGTTGGAACATTCCAAACAAATTCAAGTGCTGAACTAAGGATTTCACAGAATCTTCATCAAAACTATCAGCAATTAAGACTCCTGTTGCAAACAGAAAAAAAAAGGGGAGGTGGATGTAACGCTCCCCATGTTTATCTGGCTGGCATGGAGAGCCCACACGCCCATGTGCTGAAGCGCACACTCGGCAAATTCATACATCTCCCCCTGCCTGTGTGTGTATGTTGACGTGTGTGGTGCATCCATGTGTTTTTCTCAGAGTCCATGCTCCACCACCAGCAAGAACTCGTATCACCAAAACACACGTAAACACACACACACACACACACACACACACACACACACACACACACACACACACACATGAACAGGGTAACAAACTACAGACTCAGTACAGAGAAAGTGGCAGGAAACAAGGGCAGAAGCACGATGGGAGGGGGTTCTGGGCCAGATGAGACACAAGAAAAACACCGAATCCAGCAGCGGGTGGGTCAAGACTGGAGGAAAATAATATTGGGAATAAAAACCAAAAAAGCTATATATAAAAAACGAAACACGCTGTCGACTGTGTGTAATCCTAAAGTCATTGCGACTCGGAATTGTTTTGGGCTTCAATAAAAAAAAAAATAATAATAATAATAATAATAAAAAAAACGAAAACAAGAATGGAAATGGAAGTAAGAACAAAAATGAGGGACACGTAATATTCCCCTTGTACCCACCCACGGACCCTTTGTGCGGTAACTTTGGGGTATAGCTGACTAGGACCCATGCACCATGCGACGGGGACTTGACCCTTGTACCTGCAGGGCTGTCCAAACGATAAAAATGAAGGACGAATAGTACTCCCCTTGTACCCACCCACGGACCTTGGTGCGGTAGTTTCGAGATTTAGCGGACTACGGCACCTAAGCACTGTGCTGAGGGGACTCGGACTTTCTACCCGTGAGACCATCCAAACCAGGCACCTATCGGATAGTGCTGGACTGCTGGTTCCCCATCTTCGCACCGGAAAGTGAGGGTCCACTGGGACCCGAACCCCAGCCCCACCCCGGTAACCTCAACAGGAGATCTAATTCTGCGACTGGACTGAGCCTCAATCCCGGGATAGTATTCTTATGAAGCCTACGCGACGGCTACTACTTTAGAGGCAGGACCGATGCACCTACCCATGAATTCGGTAAGCCGGGAACGACCCTGGACCGCGTTCCGGAGCCTGAACAGTATGCCGTGACTTCGCCATTCTCCAGAGGAATGGGGACCTACGCACTAGACCAGCCCACCCATGAATTCAGTAGGTAGGGAATAACTCTGGACCGACTTCTGCAGTCTGAACAGTATGCCGTGACTTCGGCATTCTCCAGAGGAACGGGGACCAACGTCTTAGACCAGTGCAGCAAACACTCCTGGAAATACAGTGCGGGGGAACAACTTACCCCGATTTTATCGAGCGAGTGATCATCTCCCAAGGAACTGAAGTGAAGATGTCATTTCGACCGCATCCACTATTGCCCATCTAGGTGTGCGAGTGAATTTCCCTTCTGAGGAGTCGGGTTATTCTGAGTCCTCAGCACGTGTTGGGGGATCAGTGGAGGTCTGTGCAGCAATGGCGGACTGGGATTTCTCTACCGGAGTTGACGAGGACCGATCGCTCACTCCGGATGCTGAAGGAGAAGCACAAGCGGCTGAAGAAGCGGTATACCTCCCTCGTTCTCACTCTGGACTTGCATATGAAGCTATCGCTGGTTGTATGTGCTCCGTTTGCATGGTTGTCCCTTGTGTCGTTGGTTGCAGGAACTATTAACCCCTCTGACGAGCCAGATTTGTGGCGACGGCGAAAAAGCTTTAGGGGATGCCACACCCCTTCTGCGAGTACAAGAACTATGAAAAACCATCGAGCCGTCCGACTGCCGTGGCACCTGGTTACCGCCATACCAGGCCTTCCTGAGCATCCGCTGTGCTCTTATGACTTGATGATGTTGAGGGGTATGGGACGGAAGTGAGGATGAGGGAGGAGTGGAGAACAATTAGGTTATTGAAATAGGTGGCGGAGGAAGTATCGCCCGACTGGGCTACTGGGCCGGTGGATATGGGATCTGATAGTTTATCCTTTTTCCGAAGAGATATGTGTTAATGGAGGAAGTTGTATGGTTGCGGAGGTCTAAATTTGTCCATTTTATCGAAGTAAGGGTGAGTTCTCCTAATAAGGA